GAGGCTGACAGAGCTGGGACTACTCAGCCTGGAGAAGGGAAGCTCAGGGTAGATTTTATCCTTGTGTATGGACACCTGATGGGAGGAGTAAAGCAGACTGAGCCAGGTGCCCAGTGACAGGACAGGAGGAAACTGGCACAAACTGAAACACACGAGGTTCCATTTAGACAGAAGGAAGAAACTGGTTTTACTGTGAGGATGGTCTAGCAGTGACACAGGCCGTCAGCAGAGGTTATGGTGTCCTCACCCTTGGTGCTATGGGAGACCTGACTGCCCACAGCCCTGAGCAACCTGTTCTGGCTGACCCTGTTTCAAGCAGAGTTGGACAAGATGATTTCTGGAGGTCCTTTCCAATCATACCAACTCCATGTGTGCATGCATGTGTGTATGTGCATGTGCACAAGTGTACGGGAACTTAACCATCAAGAAGTTACCATAAATTGATGAATGAAAGCCAAGCAACTGAGGAAAGATAAACAATGTCTGATAACAAAAAAGTTTTCTAAAACAATTTGCTCTTCAGTGACTACTTCAACTATTTGTTATTATTAGATTCATTATACCTTTACATCTCTTAAGACACAACATTAAGAATACTAAGAAATTCAGTAATATGAGTTATTATTTTAGCATTATTTAAGAGTAGGTAAAAATATTTAGAATCATCCTGTCTGGCTTACAGAAAAATAGTTTACTCCTGACAAATATCATGACAAGAGGCCAAGAGGCTTATCTTGATCTTTAGGAAGTTTTTAAGGTTCTACCAACACAGTGATAGAAATTTTACTAAGGTAGTGGCCAAAAAGCATGAGATACATGAAACACTCACTATCTCTTTTCCGTAGTAACTACCACTTCTCAGTTCTAGAAAGCTTCGTTCTGTATGGGTTTAACTGGGGCACAGTTACATTGGGCAATTCTTTAGGGACTTATATATGCTACACTCTGATGTCAAGAGTGTTTCCAAATCAGCCATATCAGAACTAATTTCTATTCATTCACTATTTTTGATGTCTTGATTGACTCTTTGTGAATACTGAAATCTTCAAAAATATCATCTAAAATGGCCCTCTAACTTCCAAGCAGCCAAAACCTGTGTACTCAATGTTTTCCTAAGAGTAAACCAATTTAGTTAAAAAGCTGAAGTTCAAGAGGCTAAAGCTGTGTCTACACACTTCTTTTTGTCTAAAAGATTTTGCCAGAGTTCAGTATCTGCAAATTTCCTAGGCCTGCTAAGCTAGCTTCCAAGATCAGCTAGATTGTCTAGATCACCTTTCACAAATACTTCATGCTAGTTTCCGTTTTATTCCCTTCTTACTCCCCTACCCCTGCCTATAAACCATCCAGACAAAAATTCTAATACTGATGTAACTACACATGCCAGGGTTTTCGCTAGTATGACTTCCGTAGACACGAGGAGCCCAGTTTTCCCAAAGCAGTGCTGAAAATATACATTTACTTTGGAAGCTAAAATCTGCTATTCCAATTGCTGCATTTTTAAAAATGTACCTGCCTAATTCCTTGCTTAATGTGGACATGGTTTGAAAGAAATACTTTAAAAATTGTTGTATACTGCGCTATTTAGCTGGGACCATTTAAAAAAATCACAAGCCAAAAAACTCTTGAGAGAGGTGGTAGCTAACCTACTGGAGCTCTTGAAGTGTACTTCAAAGGTCTGTTGTGGATCAGTATGGGTCAGTTTACCACTGGCACATAACTTCACAGAGCACTGTTTTCTCCCATTGAAGGACTGAGGACAGAAGACAGTTGGTACCTTCCACTAGAGTATAAGCACTGAGAGACTGAAAATAACTGGGATTTCAACAGACAAATATTTGCACCTGCTTACAGTCTCAGGGGGTTGGGAGGAACAAGTTACAAGATACAGACTCCTTTGCCCAGGAAGTGCTATAGCACAACTTTCTCCAGGCAGTGACTGAAGGAAAACTAGCATGTGAAAAGGAAGTAATAGAGGGGAAGGAGTTTGTAGCTATATATTCTATTCTTTATTTCCCTTAGGTGTGCTGGGCATTTAAGTTTCACCGTTTGTACCGCAGAGTAAAAAGCTGTAATCATATAAAGGATACTGGAGTAAATTCATAATAATAAAATTTTTAGAAGTCAAGAGGCAATCCACTCATACTATTCCTGGAGTTACTCATTAGCTGGTCTGGTATTCCATAAAATAGTAAAAGATTTCAAGTAGTAGATGAGGAAGACTTACTTTAAATTAGCTGAGAACATAACAAAACAAAAACAATACATACAAAATAAGCAATTATTTTGACATCACCTAAAGCTTTTTCTAGTCATCTAAAAGTAATTTGCGTAAGATTCTCACCCACCCAGTTTTCTCCTTTCTTAATCTTATGTCCTAAATTCAATTAATGCTGAACCAGGCAGACATTTCAACAGTAACAAAGTGATGGCAACTTCAGGATTATGACTTCCCTTCAAGTTAAAACGCATAGCTAGAAGACAAGGGAAAATGTTTGATTGCGCACATGAAAGTAATGTGAAACCTAGGTAAACATACAGCTTATCTGCATTGTAAGTGATCTTCTGTGTGTACTCTACCAACAGTAGTTAATAGTAGTATTCCTGAGGTTTGAAGGTCAAGAAGATTGACTTCACTGCACTTGTATCTCATTGAATCAAATATCTAAACTGATATCATAACTTTTTTAGTGATTCCAAAACGGAAGGCAACTGCTCACAGAAGCAAGCTTCTCCATTCCCCTTATTCACTGAATTAAGATGTAGCTTATTAAACACTCTAGACTAAAATCCCACCCTGTTTTAATAAATGTTTTAAATAAATAGCTCCAACTATCTTCTAGAGAGAAACTCTTCACACTGTTAGAGCTTGAAGGTAGATAAATTAAGCCTACAAGGAAAAAGTGTACACTCCTTGCTTTTAAGAGCCAACATTGTCAAAGATGTGATGACATAGCAGGAAGTCTTTCATATTTTCCTCCACCCCTGCATGGACGTTTTCTTGCTTTTTTTAATTTCATTATAGTAGCTTGTGCCAGTTGTGACTAACACCTAGTAAAATAATGATGCAGGAGTCTTATTGAGGAAAGTAATTGCCTAATATAGTTTTTAAAGCTCGTCCTTTCATGAGCGAATAGTAGGCACTGTAATCATTAAGATGACCTGAATATATTTTTTCAAGGAGGAAATTTAAATCTTCAGGGGTAACCATTTGCTTTTAATACTTATAGTGTTCAAAAGTGCCAGTGAAGACTAAACTGAAACTAAAGTGGCAAAAGACAAAGCGAACATTAGGAGGTAGTGCTGGACACTGTCTTTGGGAACTGCCTAATAAGCCAGGGAGAAATTACTACAGACAGATAACCTCAACACACTTTTCCTTGTTCCTCTCACTTGAGACATTCTGAAGTTCCTTAAGGCTGTATTTTGCACACAGACATTGACCAGCTGCAGTAAAAGAGTTGTGTGTTGTAGTCACAAAAATCACAGGATAGGTCAAAACTGTTTAATTCCCTTTCAGTCTTACTTGATGACACTTGAGTGAATTCTCGCTACTCCCCTCCCTGGTTTCAGGAAGGTGGGAAGGTTTCTAGTCACAAGCCTCTTCACATAACAAAGCTAAAAACTTGTGAAAGAAGCGATACTACTGAATAACGCTTGTGTCTACAAAGCCTTGAAAATTCTTCCAAACAATAAATCCTGTAAGGCTTGAAATGCAACCAAAGTTTGTCAGTATACTTAAGCAATTACTTTGTTTTACTAACAAAGTTACTCTTTTCGAGAGGAATGGGATTTTCAAATAGAAAGCTGCTATCAGAGCAACCCTGATACAAGATATGTTAACTACCTTGAGGAAAGGAAGCATGCCAACAGAAATGCTCTTACACTGGGCCAAATGCGAGTTAGAAGACGATCCGGTTTTATTAGTAGATACAACAGTTTTGAGCAGTTATGCAAACCCCACAATGACTTAAAAGCTAACACATGCTGCAAACCCTGTTACCTTATTATAAAGTTTACAGATATCTTGGCAGTGAACAATCCTACCTTAGTCAAAAAATACTTGGATTTCTAGCTTCACATGCTAAAACATTAAATCATCAATCAAATAGTCAGAAAAATGGGAACATCCACCTTTTTGTTAATTTTTGTTAAACTTCTCCTTTGCACAAATGCTTCTGCACTCCCTCAGTAACATGCGCATGCACACTGAAGATCAGTTCCAGGGGGGCAAGACTTTCTCAACATCTGTTCCTGCTGCACTATCATTAGTTTTTAGATTAATTCAACAGAAAGCAGTATTCTGTTTCTTCAGACGGTTCTCAGACGTTTGTACACACACTGCTGGGACATCCGAAAGTGTAAGTGGACACACCAAAGCACTTAACAGGAAGCCAAGAAGGGAAAAAAAAGAGTAGTTGGGCAGTAAAATGGAAAACAACCATAGCCTCCACCCCACAGATTTGGTTCCTGTGTTGACAGAGCCTTCTGAATCTTTGTGTTGTAATAGAAAGAAGCATTTGTATTCCCACCATGACACACAATTACTCTGTAATAATGAGTCGCAAATTCAAGCTATTTACTGAAATAATACCCTGCTTGGCATCTATTACCTAATCTGTTTCCACTTAATCAAGATTAACACTTTCCTGAACACCCTTTATCTAGTATCACTATAGTGATAAGCTACTTAAAACTGTAACTTCTTCATTCCTAGGGATGAGTTGGTGCTTAATAGCAAAGAAAGACTGGTATTTCTCAGTAATTGCAAAGGTGTGCTTTAAAATTTAACACTTTTATTTTATCAGGTGATTCTTCTATTGAAAGTTGTAGGAGTACCCAGATGACCTTTCTTCTGAAATTGCGTGTATTATATCCTCCTCATCCCTCCTCAGTAGTTACAAATGTATTAACCTTTGAAGTATGCCCATCGCTGACCAGTATAAATCTGTAACTGCAAATCATTACACACCTTAAAAAATAAAATAACACATAAAACATACCTGACTTAATAGCTGTCCATGAAAAACGTTGTTAACCACATTCAAAACCTGTTTTATAAGTTTTCTTTGAGAAGCAGGGATGACTGCTGGGTATCTGGTCCCCGTAGTCTCCAGTTCCTGCTGCACTTTATCCAAAAGTTCACAAAGAAATTCCTGAGCATCTTGTTGGGCATATCCTCTGAAGGCTGGAATTAGTCTCCACACAGAGTGAAGCATGGCAAAAGGAGACACCAGTGCCCACTTGCCAGACCACATAACTTGGAACAGAGTATGAAGCTCATGACAGAGAGAAATATGCTTTGAACTGGGCTCCCTGCGCTGAATAAGTTCCATATTTCTAGTTTTTGATGCTCCTCCACTTAATCCAGAGGATAAACTGGGCCGCCTCACAGAAGATGATCCCTTTACTTTCTCTTGGTTCTCATTCACATGTAATGCTGAGGCAGCTATTGACAGGTGTTTAGTTGAAGATCTGGTTTTGCCATTGGTTGCTGTTGCCAGCAGTTCCTGAGTTTGGTTGAGATCAAGCTTTAAAAAGCATTCTCGAAAAATAAGTAAGTGACTTAATACCTGCAGGATAGAATTCATATAGCAAGTATTACCCAGGTTTCTCAGTCCTGTTACCCCTGGAGTCACCGTGGGCCTTCGTTTCATTGGAGAGTCACTTGGTTTTTTCAATCTTACTTCATCTGAGGTATAGGTTTCTTTCAACTCTGCCGCAGATTTCATGTTCTGTGATGTTTTTTGCAGGCAGGGCGCTGATTTTGAGGACATTCTCATCTGATTTTGTAAACGACTGCTCTTTCTTGGAGGCACCTTTTCAATCTCTGCTTTCAACTCACGCTTCCGTTCTTGTCTTCTCTTCCTAGCTTTCTCCCGTCTTTCCTCTTCTTCTTCCAGACGCCTTTCTTCTTCCAAAATCTTTTTTCCAGCAGGTGTCACCTCAAGCCAGGATCTGAATATTTTCCCCAGGAGCGCACGCCGACGGTGCCAAAGAGCTGTGAACATGCGATCTTCATTCCGAAGCAAGGCTTGGGCACCACCATGTGAAAGGTAAGAATCATCACTTGTACCCATAGAACGCAAAGTCCTCCCACTTCGAGTAGTGCACTCATAGTTCTGACTCTTGATTGCACTTAATGTACTTCGCAACAGTTTTAAATCACCAGTTGTGTTATCATTAAGAACATAATCATCACAGAGATAACAGAAAACGTACAGCTCATTGACTTCCAATGCCACCGGGTGACTGCTCTCCTGAAAGTGCTTTAGTGCATGTTCTTCAATGTATCTTCCACACGCCACATGTGAGCAGCTGAGGCACGCCCAGACAGATTCGGTAGTATTACAGTCCACGCAATGCCATTTCTGAGGATTGAGAATGGAGTGATCTTGGGCCAGTCGCAGACGTCCTATGTGTTTACACTTATCCATTGTTAAAACTGAAATTGCAGAGATATGCTGGCAAAACACATCATCCAAACTATTTTCTGTCCGTGGTATTTCAATCTGCAACTAAATATATAAATATATAAAAATTACAGTGCATACACAACCTTATCACTTTTACACATGTTGGTATATCAAACTCAGACTTGAGATTAAGATCATGATCACCATCCAACCAAGTCCTACCAAACACATAAAGACAGTCAGTTCTGTATAACCACAATCAACATCATCAACAGCATTTCAACGTTCAGACTAAAAGGTTTTCATTCAGCTGTTTATAATCCCAGTACCTCTGGCTCAGGACTGAATTTACTAGCTACATTTTAGATTAGGCCTGGTTTTTCAAAGGAGCACTGATTTAGTTAAGACACTGTTACAGAGTCTGGATACAAACACAACTTAAAAAGGGACAGTTCGCCCAGAGAACCTGTGGAAACCTCACCCTCCAAAGTCTTCAGAGGCCATGTTGGATGGGGCTTTGAGCAACCTGGTCTAGTGGAAGGTGTTCCTGCCCACTGCAGATGGGGGATTGGAACTAGATGAGCTTTTCAGGTCCTTCCCAACCCAAACCATTCTATGATTCTAAAATTCTAAACTGTTCCTATTAATTCTGTCCCTAAGCATACAGGTGCAGAAGTGCAAAGTTCACTTAAATTTATTATGTTTACACAGTGCCAACAGTTCAGACAAATGAGGCTTTATTACAACTAAAACCCTTACTTAAACCACACCTTTAATTAAATCACTGCACCTTTGTGCTCAGACTAGCCCATTATACCAGTGCTTTCTACAATAAGGTATCATCAGTAAGTACATTTTAGCATGTCATCTTAACACCTTTGAAAGAAAGAGTGACCTGGAAAAGCAGAACTTTACTTCCTCGTAAGACAGAAATTCCATTAGACGCCATTACCTCAGTTGCTGCAAACTTTCTAAAAATCTGCATTTTGAACAGATGTTTCTAATACACGTCTTCAAAAAATCATCTAAAAATTTGGCTAGCGCTGGCTTACATCCTTTAATAAAGCTATGCGGTAGCATGTATTTGTTCAAAACTGCGGCATTTGCTTTCTCCTCTAAGGTGCATTTACCTTAAACAAACAGGCAGGCTCTGACTAATAAAAATTAAAGAGACAGTGATTCATTCTTTCTTTATGTTTTTACCATCTTTCTTTCTACTATCTCTAGTTGAGAGATACCATCTAGAGAAAAATGATGCGTCAGGAAGTGATTATGTTTGGTGTGGGGTGTTTGCACCCAGGATGTCACTAACTAGAAGTGCTAAATAGCACACAGCAGCAGTATTGTTATGCTCTGTACTTGCCAGATGAAACAGTTAATCCACCTGAAGAGTAGCCAGGGTTTGTCAAATATCCAGCCTATGCCAAGAGACAAGTTATGCCACTACAAATGCATGCATACTGTAGACCCAGCCTAGGCTGTACAATATCAAGGTCCAGGATTCTGTGTTTTACAGAGAAGTAAACGATGCTAAAAAGGTACTGAGTGATTTAGCTAACTCTGGCTAGAACCAAAAAAATTCAATTCCCACTATTAACCTTAAATATGCTAATATTGTTCAATTTTTACAGTTCTGAAATACACAAGAATAGGTTACTCAATTTAGAACAGATGTCTACGTTAGAATAAGCATTAGCTTGAGGGAACCCTAATACACAATGACAAGACACCACTAAGAAGGGAAATGGGTAAAAAGTTGCAGCTGGGTAGGAAAGGAGTTCTAATTTTCATCTGGTACTTCAATAAAAGCTGTAGTTAGTTAAAAGACCTAACCAATAAAAAATAGCTTTGTTTGGTTAACTGGCCCACGGCTACTGCTGTAACATATTACATGTTTTTTAACATGTTACAATACAGATACCAGCGTAAGAGCTGTAATAACTTTCTAAGCACGTAATCAAGCATCCAGTATTGCATGTGTTGTGTACGTCTTATTTGGTGATACAGAAAAGGTTGTGCCAGCTGTAGTGAAACTAATAAAATATACACAGTTTTATATGCCTGTATTAATCATTCTCATTCAACTCATTTAAGAATTGTCTCCAGCCCATGCTCACTGCTCTGAAGAATTTCAAGCACCATGATCTCTGCGTAGCCATTCAGCAATTCCCAGACTAAGTACCAGCCATAGTGTATTACAGGAGGTCGAGATCCCTTGTGTGCTATGGTCAACAGATCACAAAAATAATGGCTTGCTGGAACTTTTTCAGCTTGCTAGCACCCATAACATTCCCTCCTCCTAAAAGGCAGTCTTTTTATACTTTGCTTTTTGTTCTGTCTTTATAATTAAGACCACTAGTGCTATCCCATGCCTTCTCTTAGTCTGACAACCTGTTTTCCCCCAAAAGAAGCTCAAAGCTGAGCTTTTCTAACACAGATAAAATTCACATAAATTTCAAGAGGTGAACTATATATGTTAATTCTTCCTGGACTACTAAAGTATCTACGTAAAGCGTGCTGCAAGAATTAAGTATGTTAGACAGGATTTTAAGAGACAAGACTCATCTTTCTGAGTCTGGGCTAACAGGAATAGATTCTCCTGCATAACGTATTAGTAACGGTCCTTGCCAGCAGGCCAGAAAAGAACACTAAAACCTGCCTTCCCACAGGGCTGTCACACACAGCAATGCTGTCAGTCAGAGGGGTCTGACAGGTCGACCCTTTCTGGTTTTGTTAAAACCACTGTGTAAACACTGTGCCTTATTTTTCCTTCCTTTTAATACTATATGGTCAGAAAATCTGACTTCTTCCATTTTAAAGACGTTATCGAGAGTGAAACTACTGACATGCCTCCATGTAAGCAGATACTGGACTGAGGACAAAAGCAGTCTGCTGATTTCAGGATGACCACTGTGTAAACCAGGGTTGCACAATCAAGCTCTTCATGCAAAAGCAATACGATTCTACGAAAGCGCAAGATCAGTGCCTTGAAGAGAAAACCCTAAAACCCCAGCTCCCCCACCAGCAACCAAGCCAGCATGACATTTTCCCACCTACGTAGATGTGTGGAGAAAGGAGACAGGGTGGAAGGGGGGAGGGGGAGGAAACATCTTGACATGGGAGAAGGCTTTCTTTGAAGAAAATGTGAGGAAATCAAAATGCAGAGTTTGGTCAAAAAGACAGAAATACCTGAAAAGACTTGAAAAAAGCTAAAAGTATGAAACTGAGACCAAGCGAACTTCAGCTGAATGTCCAGCGGCACACTGACAGCATGAATATTTCAAGAGGTGGAGCACTGAGACTACATCAAGGCACAAAATTTAGAAACTTTACCTTTGAACTAAGACTTGGCAAGATAGTATAGCTCAGGGAAAAAACAGGACTGAAATGACAGACAATGGTGGACAAAACAAAAAATATTGCATACTGCTTTCCATGCCTACTAGAAAGCTGCAGCTGGAATAAATAGTACAAGCAAATGCTCCAAAACGTTAAAATCCCATAAAGAAAGTTATTCGGTGCTGGTTTCTGCATTCTTCTCTCCCGAGGTTCAGTTCTGTGCACACACACAAAGAAACCATGAATTAGTTGACCAGCACTTCAGAGATCAAGCCCCGCTGTGTTCTCAGCACAGGCCTGAGCTGAAGTAGTAAGCAAAGTAACAAGTACTAACATACAGAATAGCACTACTTAAAGCATCAAGTTGTGTGGGAAAATAGAGATATACAAAAGTCTTTTCTCACACCAAAGTTTCACAAGCTAGAAAGAAAAATACAAGGAATAGGATTTTTTTTTCCCCATTGAACCGTATTTCAGCCTTATTGATGTGCTTATTTCTTTAGTTTCACTAAAGAATGGCTGGCAAGATATACATTTCGGGATAACTCATGAGCTGAAAAAAGTGCTCGGTGTCAAAACCTAACAACTTAGAAGCCAAGAAAATAGATGTTTTTCTTCCATTTGTGTTCCATATAAACAAGACATTAAGATTCATTGTCACAGCTGATAAATTTCAAAATTGTAACTCTAAATATAAACAAAAGGAAATCTTTTCCCCTTAAGTCACTACTTCCATAATTAATTACTTGGCATGTAAGTGAAAAACCAGTCAGCCTATCTCAAGCTTTAGACTAGAAATGCAGTACATAGTTTTACTGATACACATGTACACCCGTATATGTGCTTGTGTGTCCCATTAATATTCTGGCTTTTACATCAGTTGACAGTTTACCAACCGATTTTCAGCAGGTTCAGAGTACCTGTTTAATATCTAAAAAAAACCCAGACACCCAGGAATCGTGGCACTTGAACAACTAAAGTTTAAGATAACAAGTATGGTAACCAGAAGCCAGATGTACTGCTTTACCGCTTTCTTAAGCGGTATTTTCCTTTTGATTTCTTCCTAAGGAAAACAACCCAACAAAACACTGATGTGGAAACTCCAAGTCCTGCAGGCATAACAACGAGACTTCAAAATCAAAGCAGCACTTCGAAAGGAAAGTTTGTAAATTATTTCCGATTTTTAACAAAGCAGTCTCCCAGCCTCCTTTCCCTGGAGCCGTACTGATCCTTATTTAACTTTTTTCCTCTTTTTCTTATGCCGGCTAAGGAACGTTTTACACGATCCGCTGCCTAGAAGCGGCACTTGCAGCAGACACCGGTACAGCACTACACTCAGTGTCTCTCACAGCGAATAACCGCGCGTTTCCTGCAGTGGAGAATTCAAGGTAAACAAATAGCTCAGACTGAAGCACTTTCACAGAGACATGAAAAACACAGCATTTCTTGTTAGTCTGGATTTACACTGGACGGTTCTTCCCATTTACAAAAACAAGCATCTCTGACCGCTCTGACAGCTCCTCGGGCAACGCCTGGCTCCTGTTCCGAGAGCCCTGGCAAGCAAAGACCCTCCAGCCAAGTTGGCCCACGGCTGGATACCGGGCTACAAGCGTGCCCACAACCGTTTCGGCAAGAAGGTTGGTTCAGCGTTCCCCACCGCCCCCCGACACGGCGTGATTCTTCGCCTCGACAACACGGGGCACTTAGGCGACCCGAGCGGGTCACCGCCACCCCTCCTTCTTCCCCTCCTCCCCGCGGTGTCCCTCACCTCGACGCCCTT